AAGGAGACAAGTAAATGGAAGTGAAACAGCCGTAACAGAAAAAGCAAGAATGTTGACGCACCGTGAAGAACGAAACCGGTGTCACTCACTGATCTAGGAACTGGGCTGTGTATTTTCACCAAAAATACTATAGAAAAGGAACAATGAAAAAAAACCATGAGGTGTGAATAAGCTAAGCGGAGCAGGAACCAGACATTACAATCACAAGGGAATCCAGTGAGGACAGCAGAAATCTAGGTGGACATCCTAGAGGAGGTGATGTTGAAGCAGAAAATCTGAAGATGAGCAGGAGTGACTAGGGTTAAGAAACAGGTTGTGTGAAGGTTGAGGCCGCCAAGCGAGCCTGTTTATGGAACCGAAAAGCGTTCTGACCGCAAAGGAAAGTCTAAGTGAGGAGGGAGCAGTGGTTGGGACGTGAGACTGGCGATAAGGTTGCTGACCCTGAGAGGCCACGAAGGCGACCCAGGAAGGGGACGAGGGTAAGGATTAGGAAAGGACCAAGAGGCCCGAGGGTCTGCTTGTTGTCGCAGAGGGCTCGGCTGAGGGCGAGAGTCGGCAGCCGGTCTCGATCTCTTGAGGCGCGGGCCGGGGCAGCTACGGGACCCCACGGAGCGCAGCAATCCGAAGGTGGTCTAGTGACTGCCTGGCGGCTTCAGATTGGGACGGAGCCAGGAGTCCGCTCTGGGCCAGGTGTTGGGCAGCCGTGCAGCGCCCCGCCTGGCCGCGAGGACCGGTCAGTGCGCCCGGGTGGCTCGGCGTGCGGGGCGGGGCGCTGGCAGCCAGGGCGGGGGTGGCGCGAGGCGGAAGTGGCGGCGGGCGGCCGGCGGCAGCGCAGCCCCAGAGAGCGCAGTGCGGGCGGCCGCGGGGCCCCGGCTCCGCGCTCACTACGAGGCGCGCTGCATTACAGGTAAGTTCGCCCTGGGCGCCCGGCACTGGCACCCTCTCCCGGGCCGCGGCGTCGACCGCTTTCCCGACACCTGCCGGCGACGGACAGGGGGCCCAGGTGGGCGCCTCCCTGCAGCGTGCTCCCTACCATCCGGCGGCCTCCAGTGCGTCTCCTGCGCCCAGAGAGTTTGGGGCGCCGCATTGCACCGAGGGGTGCCCGGCCGCAGCCATGTCTCTAGTCGCGCTCTGCCTGGCCCTCGCCGAGGATGCGAGCGTCTGGGCGCCCGCGGGGGGCTGGGCTTGGCCATCGAGGCCCACAGAGCGCACCCTTCTGTGCGCGTCCCCGCGCCCGCCCTGGGCGCCCCCCTGCCCTTTCTGATAAGTCCAAGTTAAGGTGTTCCTCCTCCAGGGTCTTAGGACCACTGAGAGCAGCTGCAGTGGCAGGTCGGAGGCCAAGTTCGTGGGAAGAAGACCCGGAAAAGGTGGCGAGGTGTCGAAGAATTGGGGGCGCACTTCTTGGGCAGTTACTTTCGGTCCTTCTCCCAAACTTAAGGACGAAACGAGAATCTAAAGTGGAGGACAGTGAGACTGTTGTGTAACAGGTGATGTGAGGAGGTGGTGGCGACACCTGCGGCTACCCCTACCCTACCCCCGCGAGGGCTGGAGCGGGTTCCCGGGGGCTTTCTTGGGCGCAGCTGAGAACCCAGGCTGAGGAGCACCCGAAAGGCCCACCTAAGGCTTGCTCCGCGTGCGGACCCGGGAAGGCAGCAGTGCTCTAGGGTCGAGTCTGCGGGAGCGGCTGCGGGGACCGTCCCCGGTTCCCGGGAGAACTCAGGTGGAGCCAGAGGCGGGAAAAACCCGGGGAGAGAGCAGGCAGCAGAACGTAGGCCGAGTCCCCTCCCCTTAGCTGTCAGCCCTGGGGGCTGAGGGTTTTCCCCGCAGGTGTCTCTGGAGGCACGGGGAAACTACCCTCCTTTCCCAAAGACCCTACTTTGGGGATTCCCCCTGCATCCTGACCTTCCCTCAAGCTGCCCCTTCTGAGAAGCTGAGAAAGGTGCCTACCTGCCCCACCGGCCATAGTTTGTGGACGTGAGGGGAGCTTGACCTGGGTGTGGTCGCCTACAAGGACTGGGAGGGGTTGGAAGCCACGCCTGGGGCAGAGAACCCCTCTCCCGTTCCCTGAGCTGGGAATGGGTTTGCCAAGAGGCAAGGTCATGTGAACTAGACAAAGGCGGGAGACAGTAGGGCTGGGAGAACCACCTACCTCCAGGGACTGCAGAGCTGCTTTCTCCTGCGACCTCTGCTGGGGTCTCCTCACCCCAGTAGCTGCTCTGGCCGACCCTTTAGATCCTTCATACCCCACCCACTTGTCCTTTGCAGCCCTGTTGACGTTTCCATGGAAGTTGGTAGAAAAGCTGCTGTTTCGTCCCCACTCTCTAGGATTCAAGTCCCCAGTTCTGGGTTTTATACATTACACCCATCTTTCAAACCCCTTCCTGAGAAGACTGCCCTAAATTGTCAAGGGCACACTTGGGGGAGCAGGCGGGATATGTCTGGAATAGCCTCTCTGGGAGTCTGGGTGTTAGTTTATTTTTAAAAATATTTGATTGTTCCATAATTTAATAGATGATTTGTCAATTAGGAGAGTTAATGAAGAGACGCACTCCCTGGGTGGTTGTTTGTATGTGGAGGGAAAGTAGGGACAGCGGCACAGAGGCACAGATTTGGATTCATGAGCAGTTTCAAGTTAGGACTGCCTGAATCAGGCCACCTGGCTAAGGGACCACCTAGGGGCTGATGCTTAGCGTGCCCTGGGGAAAGGCCCTTGTGGGCCTGGCTCCAAATTAAATCCCTAAGACTGAAGATCCTTTGGGAGCTGAGATGGGCAAACTTTCCCTGGGTGAAACTGGCCCTTCTCCATACCCTTCCCCAGGCTGCCTAAGGGACCACAAGGCCAAAGTTATACATTTAAAACCTTGCTCAGGACTGAAGAGTGATTCTGGGCCGGGTAGCTGGACTCAGCTTGACTTCCTCCAGGGCTAAGGGAAAAGAGGAGTGGCTGGTCTTTCTGGGACCCCCAGCTGTACCACTGTGTGCTCATGTGTGTACCAGGGGCCTTCAAAAAGATGGTGGAAAAATGGAAAGAAAATACAATGGAATTTTCCCACAACAACTTTGAAGGCCCCTCATGTTTTCATGTTTGCAGGTGTATATGTTTGTGTGTGTGTGTGTGTGTGTGTGTATCATCAGGGAGACTTGCCTTCCCCTTTGTGTCAGCCCCCACTTGACCAGAATAAAGGGGTGACTCTCAGCTTCCTCCAGGGCTACAGACACAAATATGGGGGAACTATACCAGCTGGTCCTCAGAAACCCTATACAGGGTGGCTGTGAGTCAGAACCGATTCAACGGCACATAACAACAATAACAACAACCCAGTTAAAGGAGCCCTGGTGGTGGATGATATGAGTTACGCACTGGGCTGCCAACCTGAAGGTCCATCTTTTGGACCTACCAGTGCTCCACGGGGGTGGGGGACATTGTGCACTTGTAAAGGTGACAGCCTTGGAAACCCTACAGGGCGGTGCTATGGGTCCTAGCAGGTTGTTGTGAGTCACATTCAGTGGAAGAGCAGTGGGTTTGGGGTTTGGGGACCTAGTGTGACTAAGCACACTCAAGGCAGTGACTGTAGGCTGGGGGTTGAGGAGTGGCTACAGGGATGGGAAAGTCAGAATTTGGTCTTCAGGACCCATTGTGGATTTCCGCCTGTTTCTCCCTCCCCCAGCTCACAGTGTCTGTCCGGACACTTTCATTTCCCCTGGTGTTGGGTGGAGACTAATTTAGAAAGAGGAACTGAGCCACCAGCCTTCCAAGGCCTAGGGGACAAGACTGGGAGCTTTCCACCCTCCCGGTCCCAGCCCTGGGTCCCTGACAATTCAGGGCACTATGCTGATAGCACGTCCTTGGTGAGAAGGTGCCACCCAGCCACCGCAACTTGAAAAGGTACCAGGCAGGGGGAACAACAGAGGGGTCCAGACCTGAAAGGTCATCTTGGGTAACCTCCCACCTATGACCTGTGTGGGAGCCCATCAGGACTTGATGACCTTAGAGACAGTGGCTTTAGCCTCAGGCAGCAGGTTGGTCTCTGGTTGGGTGAGAAAGCTGTTACCTGGTGTCTTGGTAGACTCTAAACCTAGTCTTGTCACGTGGCAGTATGTTGAATGTTAGAGGATAGCCCTCCTTTACCAGCCCGGGGACCCCGAGTCCTTCAGCCATTCTTCCCTGAACTGAAGGTCTTCCATTTGGTCCCCTTCCCTCCCCTCTCTTCCTTTCCCTTCCACTGTGAGTCAGAAGGAGCTAGAGAGAACATTCTGGGGGCTGGGGGTGGGGAACAGGATGTTTCGAGACTAGGGCTGTACCAACTGGTCGGTGTCTCTTCAGTCCTCCTTTGGTCCAGCACAGGGTAGGGTGTCCAGGGAGTGGGTGGGGGGAGTGTCTGCAAAGAGGCAGCAGAGATACCTTTGCTATTGAGGTTGCTTGTCTACCTGGAAGGTAAAGAAAATGGGTGGGCTGAACAGGGTGGGACAGGAGCTCTAGCCAGCTTATGTCAGTGAGAAGAGTTTGGGGTCATTTATGGGGCTATCGAGAGTGGGGTATGGTACTGCAGGTGGCCTTCTGGGAATGAGGCGCTGCCCATCCCTTCCCTATACCACACTAGCCAGTGAGTGGAGAAAGTAGGAGAAACACATGGTCCCCGGAGGGCAGTTGTGTGCCTATGTATACACACATACTTGCGCACACCCACCACTCTAACAGGAGGACTGATCATTGAGAACTGCAGTTGAGGGCAGTTCTCTGGAGACGGGACAGCTTTGTTCTGTCAGTAACCACCCTCACAGGAGCTGAGGAATTGCTACCCCAGCCAGTAAAGCTTTGAACCCCTTTTCTCCACCTCCAAACCCAAAGCACAGACATTGAAGGTTGTAAAAAAGAGCTGGCATTATACCCCAGGACCAGTTAACAGACCTTCAGAGCCCCGTCCCTGGAGAAGGAGTGCCCTGAGAACCTTATAGCAGCAGGTCTGCTGATGGCCCCCTCCTGCTTTCTCTTGCAGACCACTTTGTCATGAACCAGCCTACCCCCGGGGTGCCCCGCCGGGTGCGGCTGAAGCCCTGGCTGGTGGCTCAGGTGAACAGCTGCCAGTACCCAGGACTTCAGTGGGTCAACGGGGAAAGGAAATTCTTCTACATCCCCTGGCGCCATGCCACACGGCATGGTCCCAGCCAGGATGGGGACAACACCATCTTCAAGGTAAGCCCTAGACTGGGGGCCTCTGCTGGGGTCTCTGACGCACTGGCTCAAAGGAGAACTCCCACTAAGTGTCCTTGAAGCTGGGCAACTCTCCCAGCTGCAGGGACCCCCCCAGGCCTGGACTGGGGGGACACAGTTGGTTCACCTTGAATTGAGTAGCCTGTACCTCACAGCAAGGTGGGGACCTTCCATAACTCTGCTCCCCATGCCCCTGTCATTGCCTCTACTTCATCCGTTATACACATGACTACACATTCAGTGTGCACATACACACAAGCCCAAAGAAGACAACCCGCAACCCTAACACTAGCAGTAACCTGCTGTCGTAGTCACTATTAACAGCATTTGCTTGTGTTTTCAGTTTTCTGCATGGGTGTATATGAAATGCAAAAAAAAAAAAAGGAATCAAAACCATATATTGTTTTCTAACCTGCATTTTTCACCCAGTATCAGAAACAACTTTCTAAATCTCTCCAATGCAATATTAAACAGCCACTAAAAAATGACATGGATACAGGTTAGAAAAGAAAGCATATCTTCATGTCAACTTTCCCCAGTTGCTGTCCACTCAATTCTAACCCATGGTGATCCCCCGTGTGTCAGAGTAGAACTGTGCTCCATACACAGTGGCTTGTTCTTAGAAGTAGATTGCCAGGAATTTCTTCCAAGGCACCTCTGTTTGAACTCGGACCTTTCACTTTTAGGTTCGTAGCTGAGCTTACATAGAAATGATATGGTGGCAGCATCAGATCTTCTCATCTAACTTCACAAGGAGGGAGGAGAATCATTATTAGCCCCTACAGCCCAAGTCTGATTGCTGTTTTGACGCCAACCCTGTCTCTCCCGTAGCGCTCTCAGTTCTGCTGAGATCCATTCATTGCAGTGACCACACACAACTCACAGACAATACTCACCATCATGGGATTTATTAGGGAAGTAATTGGTTACTACAATTCAGGATCAGGAATGACTCAGGATACAGTTTCGTCAGGACGGCTTCTCAGTTGTGCCTGAAGGCAGACCTCTTCATGACCCTCTGCTTCTCAGCCCTCAGCCCCTAGGCCCAGTCTGTGCCCTAGGTGTTAAAAAGCTCTTTAGCTGCACCGATGAGTCCCCACTCTGCCAGTTAACCTCCTGTCTAAAGGTGCTCAGCTTGCTGGGTCAGCACACGCATCTTGCCAACTGGGCTAGGAAACCCACTGCACCGTCTGCTGCCAGTCTCCCGGTTTCACTGCCCTTGTTGTTCCCACTCTTTCACTGTTTGTGGTGCCTCAGCTCCCTGCCTCCTGGGTCTAGAAGGTTCTCAGTGCAGGGACCCTGGGTCCAAAGGACCACTCTGGTCCCATTTCCTTTTCTTGTTGGTCGTGAGCTGTCCCTCTTCGACCTTTGAGATGGTTCATTTTAAGGCTAGCAGTATGGCAAGACTAACCAATCCCCTCATTAGGGCTCCATATACCTTATTTTCATGCCCCTCCAAAAGATGCCATGTACCTTATATACACTTTTTAGCAAGCTAGCACAGCCCCACCCAATCATTGCTCTGCATATAGGATCACCCAGGGACTCCACCAAAGAGTAAGCACAGTGCAGTTGTCACCCAGTCCCTGGGGTTGGGACACTTTAGGTTGCTTTTAGTGTTCCAGTGTAAACACCGCACCCTCTACCTCACCTTCAAACCACTAAACCAGACCAAATTCCAACTCATAGCGACCCCATCGCACTGAGTAGAACTCTTCCAGAAGGTTCCCAAGGCTGTAATCTTTATGGAAGCAAATTGCCACAGCTTTCTCCTGTGGAGTGGCTAGTAGGTTCGAACTGATAAGCTTTCAGGTAGCAGCCAAGCACTTTATCATTGTGTAACCAGGGTTCCTCTCACTCTATATATCTTAAATTACTTCTTTGGGGTTAGTTTCTAGAGTTAAAAATTACTGGGTCAAAGGAAGGTATATTTTTAAAGCTTTAGATGCATTTTTCTTAATCTTTGCACTTGGTCTTTACCTTTACAAAGTACTTTTTTTTTAAAGGAACTTTTTATTGTGAAAGGAGCGAAGGTTTACAGAGTAGATCATCAGATTTATGCTATGTATACAAACATAGATATTTTGTTTCATTTTAGTGATTGCCTTTTGCTCCAAGCCACAACAATTTTCCTACTTCCTTGTGATTCTTGTTTCATTCCACCTTCTTTCCTAACCCTTCTGAACTTTGTCCTTAGGTAAATGTTGCCCCCCCTCATCTTCAGTGATTGACAGTTCCATGGTGTGTACACCTCACTAGTGTTGTTGTCCCCCCTATATACTTATCTTTTACTTGGCTGAAAATGGAGCCACTAGGGTGAGTTCAGTTCCAGACCTGAAGGGGTAAATCTAGGGCCAGAATCTTGAATTCCTCCAGTCTCTTCAAAGTCCTTTGAGAAATGTATTCCTTATTTCTAAATAGGCAACACAGTAACAATTCAAGATGAAAAAGGTATGAAATGGTTTATAGGGAAGTCTCTCTACCTCCTTGTCCCCTAGCTGCCCACTTCCCTTCTTGGAAGTAATTAGTGCTACTAATTTCATTATTTATCATTCCTGATGCATATTGTCGTGCTGCAGGATAAGCACTGGACTGCAAATCACAAGGTTAGTGGTTCAAACCCACCAGCTTCTCCTCAGAAATCCTATACAGGGTTGTTATGAGTTGGAACTGACTCAATGACACTGGTTGTTTCTGGGCATATGGAATGTGTTGGCTCCACATGCTAATCACTGGACTGCAAACCACAAGGTCCGAGGTTTGAGCCTGCCAGTCTCTCTATGGGAAGAAGATGGAACTTTTTGCTCCCAGGAAGATTTAAGGCATCAGAAACCTTATACACAAATATATACCTATCTTCTCTATCATTTTTGAGAAAAATAGTATATATGGGTATCCTCTTCCATAATATTTCTTTCTTTTTTTTTTTTAAAAAAAAAAAAACCATTTGCTGTGAATTGAGTGAAGGTTTATAGACAAGATCATTAGCTCTACATTGAGGCGAACTATGCATCTTGTTTCACCTCAATGATTCCAACCCCCTCCCTGCAACATTTATCCTACTTCCTCCCTGTGGCTCCCCAATTGCATCTTATATTTCACTATATTTCTTTAAAAAAAAATGTGTGTGTGTGTGTAAAAGTTTAAATAGTAAATTAGATACCCACCTGACAGTTTATATATAGATTGTTCAGTGACATTAAGTTACATTTTCCATTATGTGTTCACATTCTCTTTGTGTTGTGGTTGTTCTCCTATTTGCTGTACTCTAGTCTCCCTGTCCCCTAGCTTTTCATCTTTGCTGTAGGTAATTATTGACTTTTTGGTCTCATCCTGATGCTTTCTAAGCAGGGCACTGATTTCATCCTTTATTTTGGGTGCCAGTCTGCTACTTTGCTGAAAGGTGATTGATTGGTAGGGATAGGCTCGGTTCTAGGTTTCAAGAGAGTGTCTCAGGGAATCTCTGTTTTCTACTCTTCATTTTGTCTTTTTTCTTTTTTAAACAACAATTTGAGTTCTCCTCCATGTTTTTCTCTCATTCTACCTGGGACCAATTATTGTGTTGCTCCCCCTCCACCCCCAAGTCAGAATAGTCTATACTGGTAACCCGGTACCATCTAGTTCTTCTGGTGTCAGAGCTGAGATCCAGTTGTGTTATATAGACTTGTTGCTTCTCTGCTCTTTCCGTTACTTTCTTACTTTTTGCTCCTAGCAAGTAGAGACCATAGTTAAATCTCAGATGGCTGTTCACAAGCTTTTAAGATACCAGACACTACGGTTTTCACTAGGATGTTGGCCACAAGTTTTGTAAACTAGGTAATGCCAATTGACTGAGTTGTCCTATGAGACTATGGCCCCTAAGCCTTCAAACACATTTTGGAAGGTGTTTGGTTATATGAAGAAGATCCGTATTTGTGTCTTCAGTGAATACATGTCCATGCACTCACATATTTGTATTTACATATCTGTATAGACTTCTGGACCCTGGTATGGCACTGTAGGATAAACACTGGACTGCTAACCACAGGGTTGGCAACTCAGACCCACAAGCTGGTCTCAGAAATCCTATTGAGAGTCATTATGAGTCAGAATTGACTCGATAGCACACAAAATTGCAACATAGATCCTTCTGTCTGTCCATGCCTGGGTACACATCTGTACTTACCCATATACCAATTTGTCTGTATCCAGTTATGCTCATACCTGTTCACATGCTCATTTATTGTGTCTGTGCTGGGCTCACTACCTACACCCACATTCGGTACTTTTCCCATCGCCAAAAATAACTAGTTTCTACTGTATAAAAGGAACTCTGGTAGCGTGGTGGTTACAAGTTGGGCTGCTAACCTCAAAGTCAGCTGTTCCGTGAGAGGAAGATGAGACTTTCTGCTCCCATAAAGATTTACAGCCTCGGAAACCCCATACAGGGTCACTATGAGTCAGGGTTGCTATGAGTCAGAACCGACTCCATGGCACGCAACCACCACCACCACTTTGTAAAGGAATCTTGGTGTGGTGCTGTAGGATAAGCACTGGACCACAAGATCCATTTGAATTGCAAGGTTGGTGGTTCAAATCCACCAGCCACTCCTTGGAAACCCTATGCAGGGTCACTATGAGTCAGAACCAACTCAATAATACATAACAACACCAACTGTGTAATGCATACTTTTTCTACTTCCCTTCCTGGTAACCACCACTTCCTTTAGGTGGTTTTTAATGCAGCACCATACACACCGTAATAAATACCCTTTCCTTTGCATGCCATTCTGTTATTTCAGCAAAACGTGACCCCCAGGGAAGAGCTCCGGTTGAAGGTTTCAAGAGTATCTATCTCTGGGTGATAGTCTCAGCTGGTCCAGTAAGTCTGGACATTTAAAGAATTGGAGTTCTGTTCTGTGTTATTCCTCCTCATTCTGTCCGGATTCATCTACTGTGGCCCTGGTCAGAATGGCTGGTAGTGGTACCTAGGCACCATCTAGTTCTTCTAGCCTCAGTGTAGATGAGGCCACGTAGGCTGTGAGCTCTGTTGACCAGGTTCTTCTCTGAGACTTTGGTTTCATTCTTTCTCTTTTGCTCCTGATATCCACGTAATAATTCCTGGTATCACTCCATATAAGTATCAAACTAGCCTCCTTTTCTTTTTTTTTTTTGCTATCCAGTATTTTGTGGTTTAACTATAATTCATATTTTAACCGGAGTACCAAAGTCCTGGTGTGGTGCTGTAGGATAAGCACTGGATCACAAGGTCAGTTTGAATTGCAAGGTTGGCGGTTCAAACTCACCAGCTGCTTCTTGGAAACACTGTACAGGATCACTATGAATCAGAACTGACTTGACGGCACTTAACAACAACAACAACAACATCATTTAGACAGCCACTATGGATGGACCTTTAGGTTGCTTGGATCTTTTGCTTTTACTAACGATGCTGCAAAGAGTAATTCTGTGCATGTTTTGTTTTTCATGGATGCTTGCATGTCTATAGGATAGAAGTTCCTTGAAGTGGAACAGCTGGTCAATCCTGACATCACCACATTGCCCTCACAAGATCAATGCCAGTATAGAAGTACATCAAGCCTTCTTGCCCACGGGCACGGTGCTGAATACTTTGTGGGCATCGGTCCCTGTAGTCTTTACCTAATACTTGTGAGGTGGGGTGATGGGAAACCAGAGGCGAGTGACGTGACCCTGGTACACAGCTGGATCCCCACACCCAGTCCCGCTTCAGATCCCAGGCCCTTTTCCAACATAGCCCATTGCCCTTCCAGAAGTGGGTTGAATGCCGCCTGTCAGTGACCTTCAGTTTCATGTGGTTTAGGGGAAACCTGAGATCTGAGGACAGATAGGCATCAGCTCCCCCATGTGTCAGACAGAGGTGCTCTGGCCTGCAGGACTCAGGTGCTGCTGAGGGGACTGGGCTGGGTCTGGTGAGGTGTGAGGTTCTGTGTGGTCACTGTCTTCTCTTTCTGCCCAGGCTTGGGCCAAGGAGACAGGGAAGTACACAGAGGGCGTGGATGAGGCAGATCCTGCCAAGTGGAAGGCCAACTTGCGCTGTGCCCTGAACAAGAGCCGTGATTTCCACCTCATCTACGATGGGCCTCGGGACATGCCACCTCAGCCCTACAAGATCTATGAGGTCTGCTCCAATGGCCCTGCACCCACAGGTAATGTTCAGGGAAGGGGCAGGGCCCCCACAGTGGGCAGTGATCGGGGGCATGCCTGCTGGGCTTCCAGGAGTAGCCAGGGACTGGGTCATTTGTGTTAGGACCAGGCCCCAGTGTCCTATGCAGACTTCCTGACTTGTCCTTGCTCTTGGTACTTGGGCAGCTGTAGATAGATAGGTCTGCTGGATATGCAGGGGAGGGGGCTGAGTGCCAAGGGGTGGCTGTGTCCTTCCTGTCCTCCTGCATTTGGACAGCTTGGGGGTTAGGGATAGAGGGAAAACAAGGAGCCCTAGTGGTACAGTGGGTTAAGCACTGGGATGCTAACTACAAGATTAATGGTTGAAACTCACCAGCCACTTTGTAGGAGGAGTAAGAGGCAGTCTGCTCTTGGAAAGATTTCCAGTCGGAAACGCTATGGCTCCATAGGTCATTGGGTGACTGCGTCAGAGTGGACCTGACGGCATGGGTGGGGAGGGGACAGTCACAACAGGAGCTCCGGGCCATCTCTCTCGGATGGTGGCTTTTTTTCTCCTCAAGACTGCCTTTCTGTCTCTGCAGAACCACAGCCCAGTGAGGACTGCATTTTTGAGGAGGAGAAAGAGGATGAGGTGAGCAGGGGCAGGGTAGGCAGCAGCTGCTCTGATGTGTGTGTGTTGTGGGGTTGGGGAGGCTATCCCTGTGGCTCCTTCTCAAGTCCTCTGAATGAACGGTAGGGACAGTCTCCATGCACTTTGTATCTCCCTGGGTTCTGCTGTGACAATCATCCTCTTCACAACGGGGCCCTATAGGTACTACTGTCTGCAGAAAGCAAGTGAGGAAATTGAGGCACAGATGGTGTAGAGCTGTAGGGAGCAGGGCTGGCGCTAAAGTCCGGTCAGGCCCTGCTGATCTGGAGGCTGGGGGCCCACCTGGTGGCTCCCCTGCTGTTTCTTCAGTATCAGATCAGTTGACTAACTTCTCTCTCCCATCCTGCCTTCTCATCAGCTCCAGAGGATGTTGCCAGGCCTGAACATCACAGGTGGGCTGGGAGGTGTGGGATGGGGAGAGGCAGGGGCTTAGTGTAAGGTACTGGGAGGGGGCAAGGGAGCAGGTGGACTTGGAAGTTCTAGAAATGGCATTAATAGCTCTGTCTACCTAATCTAATCATCTGCAGAAACAGCGCAGCCTGCCCACCCCATGGTACCCTATTCTGTACCCAAGGAGGAGCTTAAGTGGCCCCCAACTCTGCAGCCACCTGTGATGCCAGGGCCCTCTGCTCCAGAGTCCACCGTCCTGGTCCCACCCCCCAACAACTCTGCTGGTTTTGAGGACTTGCGGAGCCTGGAGCCTGGAGCCCAGGTTGCGAGCCTGCCTCCACCAAGCGAACAACTGCCTGACTTGCTGATCAGTCCTCACATGCTACCTTGTAAGGCCAAAGGGAGAAGCAGGGAGAGCTGGGCAGAATGGGCTTGGGGGGCGGGGCGGGGAGGGCTACAACGATGATGTTGTTTTTAAGTGCTGTTGAGTCAGTTCTGACTCATAGTGACCCAATATAGGGTCACTATGCATTCCCACCCCATAGATTGAATCAGGATTGGCATTGTAACAAGATTCCTAGGTGGTACGGATCTATGACAATAAGGACCACCTGGAGATCTTGTTACAGACTAGGTGTTGGACTGCAAACCTGTGTCCAAAAAGATTTCCTATATGGCGTGGTGGTGTGTGTTTGTGTGTGTGTGTGTGTAATCTCCTTATTTGGCATATCTGGGGTGGAAATACAGATTCTTAGTGGGTAGGTGGTTTGCAGCCTGTGAAGGAGGAGGACAGAGCTCCTTGGGGGCAGTAAGTGGGACCGCTGTGGCTAGGCAGCCAGGGAATGGTCAGGCGTGGTGGATGGGAAGCTCGGCTGACTCAGGAGATGCGGACGGCCCTCTGCCCACAGTGACAGACCTGGAGATCAAGTTCCAGTATCGAGGCCGGCCGCCGCGTGCCCACACCATCAGCAACCCGCAGGGCTGCCGGCTCTTCTACAGCCAGCTGGAGGCCACCCAGGAGCAGGTGGAGCTCTTCGGCCCCGTGAGCCTGGAGCAGGTGCGCTTCCCCAGCCCTGAGGACATCCCCAGTGACAAGCAGCGCTTCTACACCAACCAGCTGCTAGACGTGCTGGACCGCGGGCTCATCCTGCAGCTGCAGGGCCAGGACCTGTACGCTGTCCGCTTGTGTCAGTGCAAGGTGTTCTGGAGTGGACCCTGTGCCTCGACCCACACTGCCTGCCCCAACCCCATCCAGCGAGAGGTCAAGACCAAGCTCTTCAGCCTCGAGCAGTTTCTGCATGGTGAGGTCCCCCTTCACATCACACTGCCTGGTCCCCCGTGCGGTGTTAGCCTCTGACTGGGTTCCTGTCCTTGTTCCAGAACTCATCCTGTTCCAGAAGGGCCAGACAGACACCCCACCGCCGTTCGAGATTTTCTTCTGCTTTGGGGAGGAGTGGCCAGACCGCAAACCCCGGGAGAAGAAACTCATCACTGTACAGGTGAACTGGCACCCCACATTGAATATAGGGGACAACCTGCTAACCACAGTTTGGCAGTTCAAACCCACTAGCTGCTGCTTGGGACCCCTCTGCAGGGTCACTGAGTGGGAACCGACTGGACAGCACTTAACAATAATGGACTAGGCTTTGGGCTTTCTGAGATAACTTGGCAGCCAGAGAGATCAGGGTGGAGGCGGCCCACACATGTACTGTCTTTATACAAAGTAGAAGTAGGTGCCCCTTCCTCCTCGTTGAGTCCCTGAGTGATGTGAGTAGGGAAGGGTTGGAGGTTTGAATCCATTCAGAGAGGCTTCAGAAGAAAGGCCTGGCTTTCTGAAAGGCCGTTGAAAACCCTATGGGGTCACTGTGAGTCAGAGGGACGCTGGCAGGTTGATTGGCTTTCTCCCTGAGGGCTTCAGTCCCCCACTTGCCCCCTGGTGGACGCCCTCCTGCACCGCTGGATTCGGCAGCCCTGCCAAGTCCTTCCTGCCCCTCTTCCTCTCCCCCAGGTGGTGCCTGTGGCGGCGCGATTGCTGATGGAGATGTTCTCTGGGGAGCTTTCCTGGTCCACTGACAGTATCCGGCTCCAGATCTCAAACCCAGACCTCAAAGACCACATGGTAGAGCAGTTCAAGGAACTCCATCACCTCTGGCAGGCTCAGCAGCGGGTGCAGCCCGTGGCCCAGGCCCCTCCTGGGCCAGGCCTCGGGGCTGACCAGGGACCCTGGCCCATGCACCCAGTTGGCATGCGATAGACTTCCACAGTGACTGGCCCGGGCTTCCCAGATGGTTGTGAGGACTGAGACCGGTGCACATGGCTGACTTCGGGGTCCCAGCCTTGGTTTTTCTGGATGTGGATTTGGGCCAAGGAGAAAGAGGAAAGGCCTGAGTTTTCTGTTCTCCCTGCAGAAGATGAGGGGAAGCCAGAGACTAGCTTTTTACCTCAAGGACCCTGTCCTTCCTCGGGACCTACTTCTGCGTTAACTTGGTTGTACTTGGCTTTTGGAGAGACTAGGCTCTGAGCACCAGCGGGTGTGGAGGAAATGTCTTCCAACATGGGTGCCTTGCTATATACACAGAGCAGATGGTGCCAGGGTGGCCCACTCTTGTGAGTGCCACCACTTCTGTGGCAAAAAGAGCCAAGGAGTACGGTGAGATTGGTGTTCACCCCAGCAGGGCATGGCCCTGACTAGGGGGCAGTTCCCTAGTTTGAGCCTCACTTCCTCATCTTACGGCCTCCTGAGACAGACATGAGCACTGAGGGATCACACCAGATTGGCAGCTGGGCTCCTCTTCAGAGCCCAAGAACCTGTGGTAGAGTTATGTATTTTTGGATTAATAAATATAAAAAAACAGATCTGGCCATTTAGTTTTTTTCCAGTGCCTGTTGCTTTTCTACCAGACATTACTTCTGATGCCAACTGTCCCATCTCAGGTCACCACTGTCCTCCCTCCCCCTCCCCAGGCTGATGAGTCAGCTGACCCTCCTCTCTTAGCCAGTACCTGGCTGGCTTTGCTTTCCAGAATACAGACTGCAGCAAGGGTGTGGATTTCTATGTGTGCAGAGCCTAGAAGCCTGCCCAAATCAAACAGTGCAAAAAGGGTTTGTATTCCAGTAGTGTGTGGGAATCACTACAATCCTGTCATCCTCACATATCTGTTGCTAAATTCTGCTGCTGAGTGCAACTTGGTAGCTTATGTGTTTATTTTTAAAACATTTCACTGTGAATTGAGTGAAGGTTTACTGAAATCATCCGTTGCACATTCAACAATTCACGTTTTGTTTCACCTCATTGACGGTAATCCCCAGTGTACAATCATTTATCCCACTTTCCTGTTTCCACTGCCAACCCTCCTGATGTAGGGTAAATGCTGCCCTTTTGATCTTGACTGACTGACCAGTCTATGATGTATGTACATCATCAGTAGTGTCCCCTCGACCCCCACCCCCCACTACTTACATACTGCTTGACTGAAAATTCAGTCACAGGGGCGAATTCAGTTCCAGACCCCAAGGTCTTTTTTTCTTCTCCTGATTTTGTGTTTTGTTCCACATTTCCCTTCCACTCTATCTAGGACCTTCTACTGGGATTCCTTTTAGAGCAGTAGGTAGTGACAGCTTTACCTAGCTCTTCTGATTTCAGGGCCATGGAGGCTAATGCTCAATTGGAGTAATGGTTTCCATGTGTCTTCAATCTTCTTCATCCTTCTTTCCTCCTGAGGGGGAAAGACCAATAGTTGCATCTTAGATGGTTGACCGTGAGCTTTAAACACTCCAGTTGCTACTCACCCAACCAAGATGTGGTTTTCTGGTCTGAAGTTCATTTACTTTTTATTATGGGAGATTTTTAGCCTTCACAAAAGATGGGAGGAATGGTATGAAATCCCAATGCATTGACTCTATTTCCAAGATGTGCTCAATCTTTCTCATGGGTTCCCACCCTAAGATTTCATGTATAAATATTTTAGCATGTATTCTCCTACCTAATGTGAAGCTATTCTTAACTGAATATTCAGTGATTTAAAAATACATCCTGTACAGTTGTATTGTTAAGTGTCATCAAGTCAGTTCTGGGTAGGTTTTCCAAGGAGCCACTGGTGGGTTTGAACTCCCGGTCTTACAGTTAGCCCAGTACTTACCCTAAAGTACCACATCAGGACTCTCGTGTACAGTTGTTGTTAAGAGACACTGAGTCAGTTCCGACCCATAGTGATCCAGTATAGGGTTTCCGAGCAGCTGGTGAGCTTGAACCGCCAACCTTGAAGTTTAAACAGCTTTGCAGTCTGGTGCATTAACTCACAGCAACACACCAAGACTCTGTAAATTGATACTTAAATCCACACTGGATTCTAGAGGCCTGATTGGATGAAGGCACTTGTTTTGTCCAATGACTATTTGGATTGTTTCCATCTTCAGTTATAAACAGCGCTGCAGTGAGTAGGCTCCACTTGCCAGTGGCCTGGGATGGCGCCTTTAAGTTGGGAGGTCACAGAAATTGACAATACTGTTCACGGCCCTCAGGGTGGTCACAGCCCCAGCACCCAGTGCAGTGTATCTCCATTCTTACAGTCCTCGAATCCTCAAATCCAATAACATAGTCCCTTCCAGTTGAAGACTCCTTGCACGGCCTCAGCTTTTCATTGACAGAGTTCCTCTGCTGGTGAAAAACTCCATCACCTTGCTCCAGAAGCTCAGACCGTAAAGGCTTTGGAATTTGGAAGATTTACAACAGGATTCTGTTACACCTGTGCCATGCAGTCTGGACACTGACAGCACTGATGTCATTCCAAAGGTCAAGCTCCTGTATGTCCATGCGTGAACCCGACCTTCAGTCCCTGACCTTTTCACTATACCCCCCTCAAATAGCACCTATGAGTTACCACGTGGCACTTTAATAGCATACAGGGAATAGCCCTAGTGGGTGATTAATATTCCTCGTGATCATGACCAAAATGTCTTGGCTAATCCAATATGGAGATGAAGTAACAGACAACTCTGTGGGAGGTTTATGACTTAGCAGGGGCATAACATCTACATCCGAGAACCTGATCTCAAAAACTCTTTCAAAATGAACCCTTTTTGGTGGCTACCCTTTCTATTCTCAATAGTGGTAAAGATGCTTCAGATCATTATTTTCAAGTAACCTGTAAGGCTTGGTGCCTCGTTTTCAAAGCTGTAGTTGTGGAGGCTGTGACTGATCTGAACCCAAGACATGAACCCCATAGGCTGTCAGGTTCCCCACAAATCCAGTTTTTTTGGTCCTAGATACCATTTCTGTGATTAAACACCCAATTCCTTAAACAGAGCAAAGTCAACTTGTTGCAAATGACCTAGGCGGAAAGGTTTTATGGTTTCCTCATAAAGTGAGAGGGCCAGCCTGGGGCCTTCATATCGTCTCCTGCCTCCCAACACTTTTCACAAACAAGTTTTCTTTCTCCCCGTCTAGAAATGCTGCTTTAGAGGAAAACTCATGACTTTTTCAAGCTACACACAGGAAGCTTTCTTTCACTGATTCCAAACATGATTCTACAGTTTACGGATCCAAGCCCAGGAGTAAAAATGTTAAAAGTGACGTAGCAAGGTAAAGGCAGCAAAATGGTAGCATCTCCCCCTGAGCCGGGTGTGCAGGACTAGCTGCAGCTCTCAGCCCCACGCCTGTTAACTCTGACATGTCCTATGAACTCACTTGTGGAAAACACCGGAAAATGCAAAACGACTCGACTGCCTGGTAAGCTGATCAGCAGTTACGTGGGGCTGAGGACACAGGCAGGGTGGGATTAGAAGGGTCTGTGCTCACGCTTTCCCGGGTGTGTCATTTACAGCTTGTCACACAGTGCACTTTGAACACATACAGTTCGTTGTGTGTTTAAGTTAAGGAACAGCCTGTGTGGGGGGACAAATCATGGATGGAACATACTACATGCCTGTCTTGTAAAGAAGTGGCCTATGGTCATGCTCTTTCTGAGGATAAAATGCAGCAGAAGTTTTCACAGAGAAACTAGAAAGAACAAAATAAGCCACTGGCATGAATGAAGTATGAAGGCTCTGGTATGTAGGGCAGGGACCTGTCTTAACTGGAAATTAGCCACACATATAGATGTGCAATAGAGGACAACCAAGACTGCTTACGTAGCTGGGCTAGCTGGACCATTTCAGAGCTGTGAGATGTAAAAGGAAGCAAACACAAAGCAACAATGATTACATTTTAAAAATTTATTGTTTTTTTTCCTCTTGTCTTTTATTTGTTGCTGCTGATTTGTTCTCGAGATGGCTATAACCCGACCGAACAGCGCCCTCCTGTCTAACGCCTGTGCCGGCCGCATGCCCTCAAACAGGTGAGATCGACGTTGGACGTCCCTCTCCCGCCCCACCCCTTTGGAGTCAAACAATTTCCACATTTTCAGTAAAAGACAGTCAGCCCTGCAAAGCTGTTTTATCTGTAGTTACACCCCCTTGTTTTTTCTCTCTCTTTTGGGGGTGAGGATGAACTTAAAAAACCTAAAACTTAGAATATGCATTTCTATCCCACCCACCCACCCCATTTTGGCTCATTTCTCCCAAGTGGATTAGAGATTGAGTACAGTAAGGGTTGGAAAGGCCATGAATTTCGGCCCCGACAGGTCTTCAGTGTCACCTGATCTACTACAGAACCGACATCGTGCTTACTCCTCCTCGTCTGAACAACGGAAAGGTGGAAGGGAACAGGGGGGCAGGGAGAAATTCCTGCTCACTTGTGTTAAAAGAGGAGAGAGAAAACCAACAGCAGAACGCTTGAAGAGATGCATTTTACCTTGACTCGTTCCTTCCAAATGCAGCCGTTTCATTCGTTTGCATTCCCTCATTTCCTGGGAGGAAATGCTGCCTGTCTCAGTCTGTACTGATAAGAGTTCCGTGTGTGCACGCGTGCATGGGTGTCTGTCCGTGTGAGCGTGCGTGTTATTTGCTACCAGGCGACTGTTTCAGTTCTGGTTTCAATTAATTTTCTTTTTTTCCCTTTTTATTTCCTTAAAAAAAAATTTTTTTTCCTTTTAGAAACAAGTTCACCAGGAAACCAGCTTCCCCTCCCACCATGCCGGACAGGCCGCAGCCATCTTTTGAAAACCGTGCTGATTTTCCCTCACGCTCCCCAACAGGAACTCCTCAGGACGGCCTCAGAAGGCTGGAGTCTCTCTGTCTGGCGGGACGCCCTGGTGGCGCTGAAGGCCCCTCTGCCACACGGAAGATTCTGATTGTGGGACACAGTCTGGATTTAGTTTTCTTCCTGTCTTCTAATTAAACAAGACATTCCTGACAGAAGAGAGAAGAGAGTCCATCACTGTGCTCCAGGCAGCGGGGGGGCAGTTTATAGGGTCAGCCTCTTCCTGCTCAGGGATAGCATTCTGGTCTGGCCTTAAGAATTCAGTAAAAAAAAAAAAAAGAAAAAGTTGGGTTTTTCCTTCTGAACTACTGCTTTAGTAAACACTGTCTGAGTGCTTTTCTGTCTTTCCAAGACTGAGTGGACTGTGGCGATGGGATTATATGGAGGCTGGGCGGGAGCTAAGGAGTGAGCAGGGATCTCAGGCCTCCCATTCCCCATGAACCAGAAAAGCGCTACTCGGTGTGCCTCTGTTCTGAGGGGTTTCAGCTATGATTTCACTTTGAAAGAAGGCTTCACCTACCAACTAAAGTTTCTAAGCCACTGATTCTGACTAGGCGCTGGGTACAAGTTATCAGGTGGAGGGGGAGAGTGGGGATGGAGGGGCTGAGATGTCTCCACCTGCATTCAGCTCTACCAGTTACTGACTGTGTGACATCAAGCGAATGGGTTAACATCCTTGCACTCTGATCTCCTCATCTGTGAAGTGGGGAAACCCAGAAAAATGTATGAGGATTATCTTAGTCAATACATGTAAAACACTGAAAGTAGTACTGACACGTGAGGGGCCAATACATGTTGGCTATAATTTACTCACTTAACCCACCAACAACCTAGGAAGCGATCAATGTGAACTCTTAGATGCTACTCAAACTTGATGATCCCAACTCTAAGAATCTCAGATCGGAAACGATGTCCGGTGTGGCGAGGCATCACTGATGCACGCCCACTCGTGCTTATCACAGAGGCCACAGGACGGCCTCTTGGGAGGATTAGTTCTGCTGATGATGTCAAGAGGGGGGCTCAAGGGAGAGCTGCTTTTTTCCCACATTCTACCTCTTCTTTCTATCCTTAGCTAAGGTTCTTGGTTTGAATTCCCCAGCTGCTCAGTCTTGTCCAACCGCTAAGTTCTTCCCTGACTCGCTCAGGACTAGTCAGAACTCTCCTAAGCAGCCAGCACAGGAAATCTATGCCACTCACCTGGGTGACAGGCACAGTGCAGGAGTGTGAGCTATCGAAACAACCTGGTGAAGTCTCTCAGGGCCCAGCACACTTGTTTACATTCCTCAGCACTAGGAGAAAAAGAGGCACCAGAATGAGAAACAGCAACCAAGAGGCACAGGAGTTCATCATCTCCCAACCCAGCTCCAGCTCGTCCTGCCACTCTCCAGGGTAAAGTGAAGCCTGTTTGTGACAAGAGGTAACAGGCGGGGGTATAGTCAGGGATCGGGCCATGGAGACCACTATCTGGGGCGGAAACTGAGGCCTTGGGAAGTTGTCACTGTTGCCTCAGTCTCCTCATCTATTATCTACTCACCATACAGTTTAGAACACAACATCAGCTCATGTACAGAAAGGACTTCAAAAAGACAGTGGAAAAATGTAATGAAAGACAATGGAATTTTTCCACAAACATTCTGAAGACTCCTTGTATGTAAAGCACTTACTAACCACATAGTCTTAGCAGCAGCAGCAGCAGCAATGACACTTAGCTGGTCTCTGATACAAATGCAAGAAAGTAAAAGTCCTGAAAGTAAAAGAGCAAGTGATTCCTCAAAGGCTTAAGTGAACTGAGGCCCTATGGTTTCCTCATTCTCCTCTCCAAAAGTAGATTTTGTTTACTAGGCCTCATCCGGCAACTACATTTCTATCAGTCATCGATTTTCTAGTTGAACAGGCTGCTCAGGGTTCCTCTGTGGGAGGAGCTGGTGGAGGAAGGAGAAGCGTTAACAAGTGTAGGTGGCTTCAATGGCTGGATAGATCAGAACTTGACTAGAAGAAGAAAGAAGAGGGAAGAAAAAAAAAAAAAGAGTAATCCACAACAATTTGATGAACTTTACCTATAATTATGGATGTAGTAGCTCAAAAAAGGGAACAAATCTTTACAGCAAGGATCACTCCTACCCCCTTGGTACACAGGGTTGACAGGGATGGGCAACTTGGACATTGGCTACTCAAAATGGGGGGGAGGTGGGCTATGAAGGCAAAAAGTGACTGGCTTACAAGCTTTCCCTTTCAAGAGGGAGCCTAGTTCCAAATGGGGCAGGGGTAGGTAAAACCTCCACTGAATGATTTCTAATCTGTTGGGACCCGGCTGGTGAAAGAAATGGGGATAAGACTCTTGTGATACAATAGTGAATAATTGTCATCAGGATTGACTGTGAGGGTCAGAATGTAGAGGTAGATGTTTTTTGACAAAAGGAGGAGAGTGATTGATGTTGCAGCACAGGAGCAGAGGTCCCTGGGACCATCAAGTGAGAAGAGCAGAGAGCGTGACCCTACCCAGAGAGGCTGTGACACCAGGCATGCAGACAGAGACGATGACGTGGACAGATGGAGCCTGTGGGGTATACCCTTTGGTTATTTGATGATGCATGGAGGAGACTGTAATCATTGCAATTAAACGAAACATGATAGGATGAATGTAAAACTGACGCTTTCCCATGTGGTGGTGTTGTTGTCAGGTGCCATCGAGTCGGAACCGACTCATAGCGACCCCATGCACAGCAGAACAAAACAATGTCCGATCCTGGGCCAACCTCACTACCG